CTTGGTGACAACAGCTGGAAAATAATCAAAATTGGTTACAGATTCTAGAAAAATTAAAAATATTAACTCCTTGGTTTTGTATGTACTATTGGGTACTGTAATTTCATTCACTAATAGCTCAGTCATTTAATTGGTCAAACTGAAAATTCCTATTTTACCAAATTTCAATAGTCAGCCATAGGGAACTACACCCATCTGTGCTGTTTAATACTGACAACTCTTTAGCCACAAAGTAGGATTTCTGCAATGGAGCTACACCTATAAATTAAATTTGTGTTAGCCTAGTAGAGTAGGCATCTCTCCATTCCAGGAGTTCAGTAACAAATTCAGATCAATTGCAGAGATCTGAGGCATTTCTGCAGATAAATTCAGTGTAACTGAGGCTCTAAACAGAACTCTGCTATGGAAGCAACTGGCAGGAAGGGTCAGGGAATTTTCATTTATAAGTCTTTTGATTTTCAAGTATATACTGCTGACTGCAGGAAAAAAAGGCATTGTCTATTAAATATAACTTTTGTTCATGACAGTGGCTTCATAACTGCGGCTAAAAGACAAAGCTAAGTTTTAAAATTGGTCCAATAATTACAGGAAAGCAGGTTTAAACAAGTAAGTTTTGTTGCAACTGCTTTTAAGTGAGTAAGCTTCCCTGGCTAGTCCTGACTTCCAAATGGCTGTTCATCAATATAAACTAGATAAAACACAGAGTTTTCTGTAAAAGTAAATGTTAATTGTTAACTACTAAACCTAGAAATGGGTCTGGAATGAGAGAAAACTGTCGTGTGAAATATGGGAAAAGCACTGAAGCAGTTGGCATGTTCTTTGGAAAACATATTTTCACATGGGCAGGGTGAGCACTTTGTATCTTTTTTACTTCTACACCAAATAAAAGCAGGTCTGTCCTTTAGTTTGTGACATAACATACAATTTGTTTTTCACTCTAATTGGTGACTTCCCGTGTACCCCTTCAGATGATCGAGTTCTTCTGTAAAGGGGTTATAACCTTGCTCTCTTAAACAGCGTAAGGCCCAGAACAGTTGATCTGCTGGAGGAAATTCATCCCATTTCACCCATTCCCAGCCTGTAGGGGGAAAAAAAATAAAAAATAAAAAAAAATTAAAAAAAAAAAAAAAAGAGCTAGAAAAATCAGTATAGAGTTAAGATGGGATCAAAGGAAACAGCGTGAAGCTGTGAGAGGGGAGGTTTAGGCTGGATGTTAGGATAAGTTGGTGGGGCACTGGAATAGACTCCATAGTGTAGCCTGACAGAGCTCAAGCACTGTTTGGACAACCACAGGTACAATGTGGGATTGCTGGGGCTGTCCCGTGCAGGGCCAGGAATGGGATTTAATGATGCTTGGGGGTCCCTTCCAATCCAAGTTTCCCAGAGAAGCTGTGGATGTCCCATCCCTGGGAGTGTTCCGGGCCAGGCTGGATGGAGCTCGGAACCACCTGAACCACCGTGGCACGGGGCTTGGAACTGGATGACTACTGACCCTCGTTCTTGTCGGGCTCCTGGTTGCGCGGCTCGGCGCCCGGCTCGGCCTCTCCCTTCATGAGCACGGTGACATAGTGGTAGCGCTGGGACGCGCACACCGCGTTCACGGCCGACGCGAACCGCACGTGGCGCAGCCGCAGCGCCGCCTCCTCCAGCGTCTCCCGCGCCGCGCACTCCGCCAGGCTCTCCCTGCGAGCGGGCAGGGCAAGCAAAGGCAGGGGAAGGCACGGCCGCCTC